GGGTTTAGGGTTTAGGGTTTAGGGTTTAGGGTTTAGGGTTTAGGGTTTAGGGTTTAGGGTTTAGGGTGTAGGGTTTAGGGTTTGGGTTTTTTGGCGAGTTTGCTGCTGAAGGCCAGCTTGAGGACCCTGAAACACTCAAGGGCCCCTCCCGGCCCCTGAATCCATCGTGCCGCCCTCTTTCGAACCCCCCCCCCCAAACAAAAAAAACAAAAAAACAAAAAACAGAGCCATGGTGTGTCAGTCAGGGCTACGCATGGCTACTCCACCCCTGAACTCTCCCCAAAAAAGATTGACAGACTCTGCGTAGCAACTGCTAAGGGCTGCTGCGAACAGTGTGCCCAAAAAGTCTCTGGGAGCACCGGCTTCGGAGGCACCGTCGCGAAGTCGAAGTGGTTGTACACCTGGAGGCCAACGTTTTTTCCGCGGGCTGAGGGTATTGAAGGTTGCGGGTTGAGGGTTGAGGGTTTCAGGCTCAAGGGGCTGAGCCTGCTTGTGGGGCCTGAGCTTTCAGTGAAGGCTTCGGTCATGTCATCCCTTACCTACCCCTCTTCTCCTCCCCGAAATTCACCCCCAAGTTCCCATGAATTGGGCTTAGTGAGCCGGAAAGGGGCAGTCCGCTTCGTCTTCAGCTTATGCGCAAACAAAGTTGGTTCCAAGCCAAGGATCGCCAAAAGTGTTGGTCTGCCCGGGGTGCATAGGGCACCACATGCCGTTGTCCACCTTCGGGCAGATGTCCACGACGACCTGTGCTTTCGAGGGTGATGCCAAAAGACTCGCTCAAGTTACCGGACTCTGGCCCCCCACTCGCACGCGTGAACGGACGCATGAGGGCATGTGACAGCGTGTCCTGGCCAATCGTCCTCGTGCAGTATGTATGTTGTACAAAGGGGGCACGATCGTGTACAAAGAGGCTAAAAAACTGTGAATACCAGTGTCTTGGGCATGGTTGCCATGTCAGGTTTGGTTGTGTACCACAGGTTAAAAACGTAATTATATACCCCCTCACCCACCCGTCACCCCGACCCATCCCCCAGAAAGAAGACGAGACGGAAGTCATCAGAAGCCCAGAGCTCTGGAACAAAAAGCGCCGAGCCGAATGAATGCATAAAGCCACCAGCCCAACCACGTGAACATCCACAGGACGTCTTTTCGGAGGACAGTGGGGTGAAGTAGGGGTTCATCAAATCTCATGGGCCCTGGTCAGGGTGACTCTCGTAGCGCTTAGCACAGTCTACCCAGTCGACTCCTGATTGTTCCGGGGTACCTAAAACCCAAAACCCTGAACCCGAAACCCCAAAGCCAAAAAGGCAAAGGGGGCCAAACCCCCCAAGTAAACAGGCATCCGAGGGCTTTCTGCGTCCGAGAGGCAAACTTGTAGACCTCTCAGAACTCAGAACTCGGAGTCCCGTGGAGGGTGGGGTGGGGTGGGGGGGGGGGGAGGGGGGGAATTGTGAGGGAACTCTTGGCCTCTTCAAAGCCCTCAGCCTAAACCCTCTTGCAGCCCTCATGGAGTCTTTGGGGCTTTTGGGAGCTGGGACTCATGTGGTTCCGAAAGCCCAACAGTTGTCAAAACAGGCTCTGCATGCCTCAACCACTCAGAGGTTATGAAGCCCTCACAGGCTCAACCCTGCTTCCTTTCCCTGCGCCCCTCAGGGCCCCCGAGACCTGGTGGAAGATCTCACTGTCCTTTGGCGTCCACACGTGGAAGCCCCTCGGGAGCTGGCGGATGAACCTGTGCTTGAGGGATTCTTGCATCGGAAACCCCTCTACATCCATTTAGGGGACTGAAAGAAAGGTATGGCCTTAAGGCCTGCATGGGGGGAGAGGGGGGGAGGGGGGGGAGGGGGGGGAGGGTGTATGAAAAGGCTGGGGAACGTTGGCCGGCTGGAAGATGGGGACACGATTTTGGAGGCAAAGGGGTGCGCTTTCAGCCCCTATCCTGCAATCCGAGAGCCTTGCTCCATATTGAGCTGTTGATTCGCTATTGATGCTTCTTCTTTATCATTGTATTATATATATATATATATATATATATATATATATATATATACTTGGCACTGCTACTAATCTTATTCTGGGTCCACAACGGTCGCCAGTCAAGGAGCCGGCCCTTGCCGCAGGCACCGCAGCCCATTGAAGCCTCAAGAGAATCAGGTCTCAACCGGCCACCAAAGGCTTTTCGGGTCACCTTTGATATAATATGTGATATAGTATATACTATGATATGATAGTGTTGTCTATGCATGTATGTACATATATGTGTATGCATTGCATATACGTTTTAGGGTGGTTGCATTTTGGGGTTGTTGGATCCTCGGCACCTTCAAGCTTTCACGAGACTTTGGATGCCAGCCAGGACATTGATGTGGAACGGCCGAGAGCCACTCTTGCAGCCTCTCTATACTTCATACCGAGATCGGTTTGGAGTTTGGGGTTCAGTGTTTAGGGTGGCTTGGGGCTTGGGGCTTCGGAATCCCTACGGGCTTGCTGCAAGGCCCTACTGTAGGCGGCCAAAGCGGCCGTCGGGCCACCTCCACCATTCCGGTTGCACCAGCAGCAGCCGTCCTGTGCGATGCCGGGAATCAGCGAGGTCTGCAAGGCCCCCTCCCACAAAAACAACCACTTTTCACAGAGGAAAAATATTGAAACAACCATCCGCCCAGCCTCCCTGGGCCTCATCGACCCTTTACCCTCAACATCCCGATGACCCGGGGACCCAGAAGGAGACACGGTCTGCCTGCATCGCCTGAGCGGTTGCCACGGCCAGGTAGTCCGTGCCTTGCTTCGACTTTGGGGAAATTCTACCAACACGAAAGCACCGTCTACAACTCAACAGCCAACCGGCCTTGCACCAGCGCAGCGCTGTCGAGGCCGCAAGACGTGTGCGGGTTGGTGCCGTAGCGGGTGGTGGTGGCCATGAACCTGGAAGAAACCCGAAACCCTAAACCCTAAACCCTGGGAGGCCCTTGGGGTGATTTGAGGGCTGCTTTGAGGGGATCACGGCTACAGCGCTTCGGCGAAGAGAAGCTCAGCCTCAAGTAGCCGCAGCCCAAGCCAAGTAAAGCGTCCCCCCCGAAGAAAACCCTCAGCCCCTCAAAACCACTCAACCCCGAAGTCCCTGAACTTCCAGCCTAAAGCCACCCCAAAAAACCGAAAAAAACCCTCTAAACGCCCCCCTAAACCCCCCCTAACCTTCCCCCTCTCCAACAAAAAAAAGCTCAAACATCTCGGAACGGGAGGCTGGAAGCCGCCCTTCACCTGGGGGGGCGGAGCCCAGGCCGACTTCGACAGGAGCTCCGCCTCGCACCGAGGGGGGGGTGTGGGGGGAGGAGTTTTGTAGGGGGTTTCGGGCTTAGGGTTTAGGGTTTACTGTTTGGGGTTTGGGGTTTGGGGTTTGGGGTTTGGGGTTTGGGGTTTGGAGTTTGGAGTTTGGAGTTTGGAGTTTGGAGTTTGGGGCTGGGGTTGGGAAGGGGACGTGGGGGGGTGGAGATCTCGAGGGTGGGTTTGGTAGGGAGTCTTGGGGCTTTTGGGAGTTTAGGGAGTTTTGGGAGGCCTTGTAGCGAGTTGGGAGTGTAGCTTGGGGGGGGCGATCTTTGAACGCACGCTTCACCTCCAAGCCAGGGGGAGTTTAGGGGGTTCAGGGAGTTCAGGGGGCTTTTGGGAGTTCAGGTGCCCGCCTTCTCTGTCTCATTCCCGAAGAATCGCCAGTCGCCTAAGAAAGGGTGGCAGGGAAGCAAAGGAATCTTTCCGGGAGCGATGTTCAAGGACAGATGCTCAAAGCTCTAAATTTCTGGGGCCTCGCAAAAAAAGGAAGTCCATGTTACAAATACGTACATCCATACATACATACATACATACATACATACATACATACATACATACATACATACATACATACATACATACATACATACATACATACATACATACATACATACATGCATACATGTAGACAGATACGTATGTATGTATGCGTATATATCCGTTTTATAACATTTTGTCATATATCTTTTATACAGACAGACAAGTGTAGGAAGACCAGTACATCCAGGTCGCTGTCTCTTTGGGCGTGCGAGGAATTTTGAGAGGCCCGGAGGTTCCTGGGCTCTCAAAGGCATCGCAGAAAAGACATCGACTCGGCGCCCACACGGAGCTGCTCAAACCCCCGGGAGATGGGGGTGAAGATAGGGGACCCTAAAATATAAGAGGATCCCCTTTTCATAAGGGCCCCAATAAGGCACCCCTAGCTTCAGAAACCCCCGGGAGATGGGTCAACCTGTGACCCACCAGCCGGGCGGCCCCTCGGCGGCGACCAAGGCTGAGAGGGAGGCGAGCAGGCAGCAGCGCATGGCCATGGTCCTCACGGAGGTCATAAAAAGGCTCTGGCCTCTGAAAAGGACTCTAAAGGCGCCGAGCTTCCGATGCAACGTCTTTTGCTGGTTTAAGGGGAAAGTGGGATGCTGAGACTTCTGCAGGCCTTGTTCCCGGAATTTGAAGTTTTTGGGGCCGGCGTTGGTGGCAAGGGCAGCTGGTCGAGACGCAATCCCCTAACTTCCAGCCCCACAAAAGGCCCGCCCGCCCCCCCCGACCTCAAGAGTCCTCGACAGGCAGGACACCAAAGAGACGCAAAGGTGCTTGGGAGCCCTATGGCATGCGGCTCGTGTTCCAAAAATCAGCTTCAGATGTCAGACAGGAGAGCTCAGCCTACCTCAGGCTGAGGGATTCACCGGCAATAAACGCCCCATAAACCACAGATACACAGAGTGACAATCCAACGGTCACGTGCTGTTGGGCATTAGGACTGCATGTTTAGGGTTGAGGGTCGTGAGCGCGCAATTTCCAGCATATGACGCATCGAGCGGTGGCCCCAGTGGCAAAACTTCACCGAGGCACCCCTAAAACACAGCGTCAGCGCTGACCGTGTCAAACAGGGCAGAATCCAGCTATGCAGGTTCAGCAGTGTGGGGTTTTCGCTAGCAAGGGGCCTACTAAAGCGATGCCTGAATGGTGGAGGTCAACTGGCAGCCCATCTCCTGCCACGGAGTGCGAGGCCACAACATTGCATTGCACCGACACTTCTGCAACCGCTGGCCGAAATCTGCCCCCAGAATCATGGCAACAGCCGCCCGAGATGCTGAAAACCCCGACCCGGTCACTGCACCAACATTTGGCTGAGGGTTTTACATTAGAAGGCCATTCAGGATTCTCTCGCCCGCCCCTATGGCACCAAAAAACCTAGAATCTAGATTAATCCCCCCCCTTTCTCGTACCCTAAACCCTAAACCCTAAACCCTACCCTGAACCCATCCTGGAGGTATTGGTCCAGCGGTGAGCCAGCAAAGTGCACTTCCTGTGCTACAGGATACTTATCCTCACCCTCTTGGCTTCTCTTTAGGGTTTAGGTTTAGTGTAGTGTTTAGGGTTTAGGGTTTAGGGCTGAGGGTTTAGGGTTTAGGGTTTGGGGCTTGGGGTTTCGGGTTTCGGGTTTAGGGTTTAGGGTTTAGGTTTCTCTTTTGGGTTGGTTCTATGAGTCCTGTTTCTCTCTGGAATGCGGGGCTGAGAGTTTGGTCTGGGGGATGCGTGGAAGGCCTTGGGGGCGGGGGGGGGGGGGGGGGGGGGGGGGGGGGGGGGGGGTGATCTTCAACAAAATAAATTGCTCGCGGTACAAATGCTACGCATGTTATCAATCCTACTAGTACTACTATGTCTGCTAAAATTGTCCTTATTACGAATATTACCCATACGACTCATAACATACATATTCCAGATTCCAAAAATAATACTTCCTTTTTCTAATATCACTCGCATCACGAATACTAATGTTTCGTGTATCTTAATATTCCTACTGTTTCTAGTGTTGCTAGTACTACTGATGATGCTCATGCTACTTCTATTACTGATTCCTAATATGCATAATACTGATCATATTTCTCATGATACGCATGATACTCAGGTTGCTCATCATGCTACTCACAGTACTCATATTACTTACTCACAAGTAATATTCCTGACACTACTAATATTACGAATGCTGCTTATATTACCGAGTTTTTCGAAACCTGGAAATCTCTTCAATACCTAGACCTAAGCCCTAAACTCGATTACATGTAGAGCCAGATGAGTAATGGTTAAGGGTAGCTGGGGTACTTTGGATTCTGGGCTTCTCATTTGGGTCGTACCCAAAAGAGATCAAGACCCTCTCACATGGGATCCTACTTCACAGAAATGACCATCGGGCACCAAGTTTGGACACGTGACCCAGTTGGACTCGTGGGAGGGGGGGGGTCTTGCTCTTGCGAGGCGTTGACAGACACTCCTACGCCACCCTCAACCCTATACCCGATAACAAAAAACATGGAAAGCCGAACGCTCCAAAAAGCTGCACATGGAGCCAACACTCCCAAACCCAGGTGCCCTGGCGGCCTCCACCTCGCCCATCACCGCGACGGCAAGGAGGCGGAGGCCGCGAGGGGGAGCAAGGTTTGTATGGTTTGGAGGATGCAGAGTTCAGGGCTTCTAGGGCTTTAGGGTTCTTGTAGCATATTTCTATTGAGTCAGGGCTTAAGCAGTTTGGGGTTGAGGGGTGCTGATGTGATCTTTAGTGCAATGGGGGCTGAGAATGCTTCTGGGCATTTCCGGTGGCCGGAACTGGAGGGTTTCAGGGTTTAGGGTGGGTATGGAGGGTTCAGGGCTTGCTTCTGGGCTTCCAGGCTCTTTTCTTGCTTTCCGCTGCATGGCGTTTGTGACTGAGGGAGGGGCCTCCAAAGGCTTGCGGCGCACGAAGCCATAAAGAATAAACCCCGGAAAAAACAAAATGTAGGTCAACCACCCATCCTGAGCTTTGGAGGTGTAACCGAAAACGGTACGGGGAGGGGTGGCCAGCGGGAAGGGGGTGCAATTCGGGGCCTGCCAGCTCGGAACTTTGGTATCTGTTGGTTCAGGGGATGGGGGTTACGTCGTGGCGCATCGCGCTTTTGATCAACCGAAGCGTTCGAGTGGGCTTCAGCGGCGAATTACATGCCAAGGCCTGCATGAGGCAGACGGACATTTCATCAACCAAAGCCCCATCTTCTCGCAGAAATGCCGATGGTTCTGATGTGAAAGCTTGGGGGACCTGCATCTTTCAGCAAGTAAGCCTCTGAAAACATGCAACACACATCCGGGGCTGTGCACGAATTTGGTTCGGCAAAAAACTAGTCGCAGATGCATCTGGTGATAAAAACTCAAGCGCACATCTTCCATGTCTAATTTGTGCCCAGCAAGCCACTCATAGGCGCGGTACATAAACAGACTCGGATGGAGTAGGATACATTGGGTGGAGGACGGCTAAGGGCTTCGGGATAGTGCGTAAGTCCAACGCACGGTCACTGTTGTCCGTGGTCTCGAGGTTTCTTGTCTGTCTGTCTGTCTGTCTGTCTGTCTGTCTGTCTGTCTATATCATCCCTGCCCCGCTACCACACGGTGTAGAAGTGTAGCAAAGTAACGCCTCCCTCAACCCTAAACCCTAAACCCTAAACCCTAAACCCTAAACCCTAAACCCTGGGGATCTGCATATTTGAGTTCCAGAGTGTAATCTCCTCGCGGAGTGTGCCTCCAGTCGTCTGCTGGGCGGGAAATCAGTCTACGTGTACCGGTACGGGCATTTCCCCAACACAAGCATGCCCCTAACATAACTCCAGAACAGAATCCTTACTTTTGGAACCCCCAAGACTTAAAGGGTACCCCTAAACCTCTGCTCAAAAAAAGCGTTATCATAGGAACCCCAACGACAAGGTACCCGAAACCCCAAGACCCCAAAAGCCTAAATTATGTACAGCTGCAACAGCCCCCCAAATAGGGGTACCCCCGCAAATCTACCCCAACCCGGAATCCGTGAAATAGGAACCCCAAGCAGCGTAGAATTTGGGAAACCCCCGCACAGATGAGTACGGCTGTCAGGCCACCGAGGCAAAGGCACGGCGGAGCCCACAGATGAACCTCAGAGGCTTCCCGCAAACTTGCATCATCCATGTTGAAGTGGGACCGGAACAAAAAGCACTGTCCACAAGCGAAGCTAGTGGGAACTCCAAGCTGAAAATGCTGCATCTCTGGCTGTTGTCCTGTAGGTCCCCTGAAGCTCTCACAAACCTCCACCCTAAGGCGGGAGCAATGGAATCGCGGCAGCGTTGGGCGACGCCTGGCTGGTTGGGCGGGGGCGGGGGGAGCAAGGGAGGATTAGAACCCGGGGTTCGGCTGCAATCTCTCCAAACTCGAGTGTTTTCAAGGCATTGGAGAGGAGATGCAGGCATCGAGCAGAGAGGACTCCATTGCGACAGTGGAACCTAGCTACGCTCTCTCAGCATTTTGGGCTTGCTCCCATCTAGTACGTCGACTCACTCGTAACCCCAAAGCTTCACAAAAACCGCACACCCTCTAGGCTCAGGGCTTTGGATGCGGTTGGCGATCGGGGTTCGGGCAGGACATGCGCGGGAAGCAGCTCAGCCTTGATTAACCAAACCGGCCGCGCCCCCATTGGCAGTAGCCCCTAGCAACCAGTTAATTCCCGAGACCACCACGCCTCTTGTGCCATCGTGCTGAGGCCGGAAGGCCAAGAGAGGGCAAAGAGGGGGGAAAAACGGGTGCCGGGTGTAGATCAAGGCTTACGTTACAGGGCTTCTCTAGCGGCCTTAGCGGATGTTCCAGGGGCATCACAGCGCCTCATTGAGCCTCTCCAGCAACTCGGGCAGCTCGGGCACCTTCAAAGAACAACTTGGGGGGGGGGGGGAGGAGGAAGGGGGGGGATAGATTCTTGGGGTCTCCATTAGACATGAAAAAGGGGTTTATGGCATCTTTTACAATGACCAAACGGGAACCGCAACCTAGCCAGGAACTGCACAGAAGGCCCCATGGGTTTAAGCTGTTTGGTGGCTCCCCTTGTTGAAGTTTTTGTTTGGGGGGGAGGGCTCTACATTGGAGGGCCCCTAGCACTTCATAGTCCAGTAAAGTGAACTCTGCCGGAGGACCCCAAATTTCCCACAATTCTTCTTTCTTGAGTCAGAAGTTGATTGGGGCTTCGAGGGTTTCTAGGGTTTTATTGGGGTTTATAAGGCTTATGAAGGGTTTTTAGGGTTTCCAGAGGTTTATAGGGGGTTCGGGTTTTCTAGGGGTCCTAGGGGTTTGTAGGGTTTTTAGGGTTGTTAGGGTTTGGGGCACCTACTTTCGCACAAGAGAAAACGAGGGACGGGGCATGCCTCGGGGCAGCAGTCGTAGGCCGCATAGCCCTGGAAAGCGCTTGCTGCAGCTGGGTTTGGGGCTCAGGGGGCTTCGGGGGCTTAGGGCTTACAGTTTAGGGCTTGGGGCTTAGGGTTGGGGTTTGGGGTTTAGGGTTTAGGGTTAGGGCTTAGGGTTTAGGGGTTTGGGGTTTAGGGTTGGATAAAATTACCCCACAAAGCCCAGGCCCCCCGACAGCCTAAGTACATGTGGCGGTTCTGACTACCTCACAGTTTTTCCCCAATAAGAAGCAAGGAAAAGGGTCAGGCGTGTGATTTAGGGTCTGGGGTTTAGGGTCTTCAGGTCGTTGCTCCCTGTTCTCTGCCCGCCTCCTTACCCAGGCCCAGGGAAAGGGAGAACTCGCGGCTTGGATCCGCCTCTCGGGGTCACTCTTCGGCTTCACGGTCGCATCAGGTGAAGAGGACGAGGAACTAAAAGAAAGGAGGAGCCAACGTCGTCATTTTTCGCGCTCTCTCTTTCTCTTTCTCTCTCTCTTTCTCTCTCTCTCTCTCTCTCTCTCTCTCTCTTTCTCTCTCTCTCTCTCTCTCTCTCTCTCTCTCTCTCTCTCCCTCCCTCTCCGCGCAACGTGAAGCAAGGCACTGCCAGTTCTCTACATGCGTCTCAACCTGCTTCTCTGCCCGTTCTCATGGGGTGTTTGGTTCAACGTGAGGCATTTGGGAGATACACCCAACCACAACGCCAGTTCGACCCCGGCCAAAACCTCAGCCCCTGCCACAAGCCACAGGAGATTCCCCAGTTCTTGGTACACCGCTTTAGCAGATGACATGGGCAGGATCTGGATCTGTTGCTCAGCATCTTTGACCTCCTCCTATATTGACCTAGATCATGACTCCCTATACAACTCCTTATGGCCTTCCAAGCCAACAAGCCTGCCTTGTCGATCAGCGTGAAGGTAAGTTGAACCTTTACATGCATGGAGGTCGTTTCACGCGGCAGCTTCCAAAAATGGAGTTTCTTTTTGTGGGAGGAGGGGATTCTTGTAAAGAAGAGAAGTTCTGCTGCTTTTTGGGGGGGGGGGTATATAAGGGGTACCCTCCTTTGGGAGACTGCCCTGTTGGTTTAGGGGGTGCAGGCGATCCTTGGTCGAGGCCTTCGTGTACATTTTGCGCGGCTTTACGGCAGCTTCTGGCGCTGACCTGTTCTTCCTGCTGGCCTGTATGCCTGCTTTTGGGGGCCTCACGTCTCGGTTCCTAGTAGAAGAAGCACCCTGAGAGGGCAAACAGGACGACTGCAAGCCTTCCAACCAGCAGCCCGCAACTGCCAACTCCACAACTTCATTTCCCTTCCCCCGCTCCCTTACAACTAAAGGGGCCAGAGACTTCAGGTGCGGGGCTTTCGGGTTCAGGCATTGTTATCGCAAGCCTAGAAACGGAGCCACTTCAGGGTTCAGGGTTCGAGGGCCTATGGCTTCTGGGGTTGAAGGCCTGGGCTTTTCGGGCTTTTAAGCCTCAACGAATTCGTTGGCGGGCTTTGGGGGGGGGTTCAGCCCGGCCGTCTGCGTGGTGACCCGGGTGATGTCCAGACCCAAGCTTCTCCTGTACCTGAGCTCGGGAGGGGTTTAGGGATTTGGGATGGATGTGCATCTAGATCCGAGCCGCAGGCTTCGGATGGACTAATTGAAGGAAACAAGTCTGGCTTCGGGTTTGGAACCGCAACTCCTGACAAAGGCACAGCGCAGCATTCCTGCCTCCCCGCGCCTACCCCCGAGAATTGAAGGAAGATTCTCTGCAGGGGTTTTGGGTTGAGGGTTTAGGGTTTAGGGTTTGGGGTTGGGGGTTTGGGTGTTAGGGTTTAGGGGAAGCACAACCCTGAGAAAAGAGGCGCCCGACCGTGACAGGAAATCGCCGATGTCGTTCTGCTGGAGTCGCGCCGCCTGGAGGTCGACCCTAAACCCTAAACCCTAAACCTGAAACCGCTAAACCCTATAACTGGCCATGAACACCCCAAACAGTGAGAGAGCGTGGGACACGAAAGAGTGCGCCAATAGTCCAAGAGCTTTGCATGGGGTGAACCCAGACGTCGACAAGCGGCGACTGTTTCGGATTTGATGAACACACATGTCCAAAAGCGACGATAGCTTCGAATTTGGTGAACCCAGACGTCCAAAAAAGCAGCGACAGCTTCTAAACTGGTGAACGCATGCGTCCAAACGTCCAAAAGCGACGACTGCTTCGAGAACGGCACGCGCTAACACCCGCCCCTAAACGCGAGTCTCATCCAACATACAAGCAGCCTGAGAGAAAAGTGCATGGTCCGTAGCGCTTGATCTAACCCCTCTTACGCTTCACGTAGGAACCCTGAAGCGTTGACACACACACACACACAGTGTCTTGGGGAGCTATGATGATCGTATACAAAAAATAGAGACCCTCGACAACGGGACCCGACTGACCGCAGCTTCTGAACATCTCAGGATGGCTCTGAACGTGGAACCATGCACCTCAAACCCTGACACCCCAAAAACACCAGAACCCCTAAACCCTTGCCCCTAACCCCTAACCCCTGACCCCGAAACCCAAAATATAGAAACACGGCCCTTCCGGACCTCCGTCTTCTGCGTCAGCTTCCTCTCCTCATCTCGGAGCTCCTTGCCAAAGGAGCAAAAAAAAAATAGCCAAGCCCCAATAGGAGGCCTCAAGGGCCCTACGAGTAGCCGCAAAACCCATCTATAAGCCCATCAAAAACTCCCGTCTCAACGCCCATCTCTTGCTCTGAACTTATCCCGACAGCTTTGCTGGGCCTTCCGGTACTCTTCGTGCGCACTCTGCAAGATCTCGGTAGTGCCGGCTATCACCTGTAGCTCATTTGGGCACTCCACCAAAAAACCAAAAAAACCCTAAACCCTAAACCCTAAACCCTAAACCCTCTGAAGTGGCTCTCAGCGTTGCAGCGCACATGTCCACACCTCGGCACGGTCGCTGGCAGCCTTCATGGATTGCAGCACCACCTCCACTCAACTCAGCATGTCTTGAGCAAGGCAGCTGAACCCTCGAAGGATCCACACCCCCCCTTTCCCAAAGCGGCCGCCCCACGTGCACTGAAGCCCTCTATATACATGCATATGTGTATGTATATATATATATATATATATATATATATTAGAATTAGGTACGTATACGCATTTTGTTGTTTCTTTTGTGTTGACACATTTGTGCTGATTTGCTCGCTTATTCTTTGGCAGGGTTTCGGGACACGAGTTGTGTAGAGTTCGAAACAACCTCACGACTCTGCACAAGAAGCTGCGCCACCTCAAGGCCCACGAAGATGGAAACAGCGGCATTACAACAAACAAGCAAAAAGAGAACTCGAGGGCCAGAACAGCATGAAAAGCCTCTGAAACCCTTAGAAAACCTCTAAAAACAAGGATTTGAAACGGGCTTTAAACTTCAAACAATGCTTTGAGGAGGATTTTGGACAATGGCTTTTGGAAGCCCTCCGCCCGACTCTGCCCCCACCCCCCCCCAGCCCGGCCTCACCCAACTTGGTCCCCTCACCCCGAAAGCGACGCGCGGCCTGGCCGTTTGTCGTGGGTTTGATGTTTTAGGGCTTAGGATCTTGGGGTTTAACGTTTTAGGGTTGGGTGTAGGGTTTAAGGTTGGGAAGTTCCGGGTGACTTGAGGCTCTTGGGGCTTAGGGCTTTTTAGGGCTTTTGGTTGTGGGGCTTTGAAGTATTCTAAGGGAAGGGTCTTACTGCTCTTGCCCGAAAACCCTCAAACTGCATAGAACACTGAACCCTTAAGCGAAGCCGCTCGGCCCAGGGCCATCTGTTCGGGGCTTAGGGTTTGGGCCAGGCTACATATGTTTCTACATACGGGGTTTAGGGTTTAGGCTACACATGTTTCTACCTACGGGGTTTAGGGTTTAGGGTCCATTGTGTAAATGTGTAGAAGTACATCGGGCTCCACTTCTGTTGCCACGGCCGCCCCGGCTTGTCTGGACGCGGCACACCTCCGTGAGCTCCTCCACTGCGACGAGATCCGCCTCCCGCGTTGGGGAGTTGAAAGAGACCCCAAGCCCTAAACCCTACTTACTGGCTCTTCGTTCTGCAAGGAATTAAGGATTGCCCAGGTATAACCCGAAAAGGGATTGACAATGGATATGCTCAGCTCTCTAACATATGGTCCCTTTTGGGGTCTTTATCATAAGGCGGCCCCTCTCATTTAGGGCACCCAAAAGGGACCATCATTTGAAGCACTGACCGTATGTCAAACTTCCACAATCTTGGCTTTGCGCATAAAGGATCCGAACGATCCTGGTATCCTTCAAGTCCGAAACTTCGGGTTTGGGGAGTAGTGATTTTGAGATGGTTTAGGTTGGGATGTTCCCCCTGATACTAGCAGTCCTTGGTAGGATTATAATAGGGGGGTACTATAATCCCTATTAAGGACTGCTAGTTTAAGGGGAACATCCCAAGGTTCAGGGAAGGAGTGAGGGGCTTGGAGGTCATCACCCTGCCTGGAGGTCGTACAGGACATCCTCTTCTCGCAAGATCTCCTCAGGGACCCGCAACTCCTAGAACCCACCCTGGGACCTGAAATCCCGAAGCCCCAGAATTCCTAGGACATCGCAAGGCCTTCTCAGAAACTCGCGGAGGCCCAACAAAGAAGCCAGTCGCTCAAAAGCCCCCCCCCCTTTTTCCCCCCTTCTCGGAATCCTGGAGCCCCTTCTGCGCCAGGGTGGAGATTGCTTGGCTCCGCTCCTGGCACCCCCCCCCCTGGGAGCAATGGAAGCAGCCAAGAGATTTCGGAGAGAGGATGGCATACGCTGTTGAGGTCTCAGAGGGCTCAGAGGGTTTAGAGAGGGCGGCTGTTGTAGAATGTAGAGGGGTTGCAGAATTGTGGGCTTACCTTAGGCGCCGTCCTTCCGCCAAGAGGCCACTTTCAGCTGAGAGGTCGCGCAGACCTCGGGGCGAATCCCCTTTAAATCTGCGTTTCTCTGAAGTGCAGGAAGATTGGGGGTTTACGATTTTTTGGGGGTACGTTGTTAGTATAAGGGTATCCTACTATTTGGGGGGCCACATTTCGAGCGTGAACCGCAAGATTGGAACGGCGAACGGTCCGGAACCATACCGGGACTGGCCAGTTCGCTACACCAGAGTCCCCTGGTGGGGTCCAAACACGTGGGATACCCCAAAGGCCATCATTCTACACACCAGCGTTAAAAGGAATTTGCCCGATGCCCTCCCGAGAAGGTTTCCTAGTCTTTGGGCTTAGCGGAGTGCTTTGTGATGCTTAGTAGGAATTGGAGATGTGATTTCGAGGGGAGGTAGGCTTCCACCAGCGGTCCAAGAGGGTGCCCGAACTCCCCTTAATGAAAGGATCTTCTTGAGTGGGGGGCTCACAGAATCCTGCCCAGCCCGCCGCCGAAGCGCCCAAGACTCGGAAGAAGCCAAAGCCCCTTCTTTTGTTTCATCCTTGTTCGAAACTGGAGCTAAACCCTAAACCCTAAAATCCCCCAAGAACCTTATAGGTACTTAAGCGTCCACTCGAAACATCCGCACACCGCGGAAACCAACGCCTCCTCCAGCTTGTCGCTGCAGCCTGGGCCACAGGGCAGCGGCGACTCCTCCACCTGGCGATCGATTTTTTCGGGTTCAGAGGTTTAGGGTCTAGGGCTGGGTTTAGGGTTTAAGGCTACAGGTACAGTAGGGTTTACCATCGGTACCTGGCATCTGGATGCCAAAAGCCACTTGAGGCGCAAGAGTTCCTTGCCCCTCGTTGATTCCACCTCGGAGAGGTTGAAAGCCGACGAGACCGAGCTCAAAGGCACAATACCTCTATGCATGTATAGATAGTACATGTAGTGAACGAGCCAATGTAATGTGATGAAACATATATACGTGTACATATACATCGATATTAAGCCTGCATTCCAGTCGCAGAGCCTTGGCAGGCGAGCGGTAGTCAAAGTCGAAGGGTCGCGCCGGGCGGGCAGGCGACGGTGAGCAGGCAACTCACAACGTGAGAAGCGGACATTCCGGGGCCGGTTTAAGAGTTCAGGGCTCAGGGTTCAGGGTTTTAGGTTTACGGAGTTTTTTTCGGGGCCTTCTCAAGGTCAGCAGCAAGTTCTTGGAAGAAAGGGTGCAGACCTTCAAAGATGTTCGTAGCTACAAGCACAGCAGGGTCTTAGGCAAAGTGGACCAGACTGGCCTTTGAGATAAGAGCCGAAGATCGTGTCAACCCTCTGTTCTTCACAGCTTCCTGATTTCCTGCAAAAACGTCGATGGCGTCTGCTAACTAGGGGTATGTGGGTAACGGGCCCGGCCACAACCCTCAATCAAGCCCCAAATGCTCCCCCCCGCACAGCTCAAGGGCCTGCAGCGGTCATCGCTGGACGAGTTGTGCGGGGAAGGAAGAGCTAACTCTCTTTGCAAAAAACTGAGGCCCCGCGGCGGCAAAGCGACAGACAACAGCATGCGGGTCTTCAGGCCGTCAGGGAACTCAACGCTTGAATGCTGGAATTCACCCCGACGTAAGCCCCGAACCCCAGGATCAAAGCTACGACACCAGAAACCAAAGCGCCCCCTCAAGAGCTGGCGAAGATCCTACTTTCAGCCACTCAGAGCCACCCCAACAGCAAGAGCCGAATCACTCAGCCCCTCTTTCCGCAAACGGAGCTCCAACGCTCGGCCAGACTCAGCTACAGCGGCAGGCGCTCTTGACCTTCATAGCGCCTCTTGAACTCCACAAGTTAGGAGTAGTGCTTATGCCAAGTTTAGGGTTTAGGGTTTAGGGTTTAGGGTTTAGGGTTCAGCTTGCTGATGGATGGGCAAGCATGGGCTTCTGCGTCAGCCGCTCACGCGAAAATCTCGAGACGTCGGTACCGAGCTTCGGGTCTCAGTTGCTTGGCCGCCGTCACCCGATGAAATTTCCCGGGGCGCTTCCACGCATCACTCTTCTTAACCATCGAAGCCCGAAGCTTTGCAACCCTGACCCACCAAAGCCTCAAACCCTCGGCCCCCGAAGCCTGGGCCCTAGAGACAAACGCCATGAGCCAGCTCACCCGGGGGGAGGAGGGCCACGGTGCACTCAAACCTTGGAGAGGATGGGTGACATCGGTTTCTAAGGTAGGCCAGCTTTGCTAAACGACTACCTGGCAGCATCAAGTACCTGCCTGAAGCAGTGCTATCTGAAACGTCGCATCCCACTAACCACACCGCTCCCTGCTTGGAGGGCACGTGATCCGACGGCCGTTCAGTTCTGCGCGTCCCAAAAAAATGCGTCAACGTGTGCCCGCAAGAAACCGTCCCACTACAGCTACATACTCCCATGCTCCAAATCCAATCACCCCCAGCGCAAGCCCGCCAAGGCCCACGCAATTGCCGTAGGCCCCTGCGCAGTGACTCCATGCACCCAGAGGCAAAGGTTACTTCTGGGTAAGTCAGGGATTGCGCCCCGGGGCCTTTGCAGTTGTAGGGCTGGAGATCCCGGAAGGCACTTAAGGGGAAACTCCGAGGGAGGCGTGGGGGCAGGGGCGTAGAGAGCAAAGTTGCGGGGCGTTTCTGAAGAGAAACGAGCCTCCGCATCATCCGGGGACTTGAGGAGGTTCGACTGGCGGATCGCGCAGTGCTGCGCGTTCATCTCCAACCTCGCGAGCACATGGGGGCTCCGAGATGTCGCGCAGCATTGAGCATGCATGATTGGAGGGTTTAAAGTAGGGATCGTGGAAAAGTACTGAGAAGTAGACATAAATGATATGTGTACTGGTCATGAACTGTAGTACGTGCAACAGATCGGAATGGTAAGAGCTATATGGTGGTGCTTCGAAGAAGGGCTCTACGGAGCCGCGTGGCCACGTGGGCGCTCAAGACGACTTCATCACGTGGCTCGAGTGACAGAAGCCGATGGGCGCATGAGTGCGCAGGACTCATGCGGCAGGGCTCAGGGGTGAAGAGAGGGGTGAAGACCTTGAAAACCAACAAGAGATTCTCAGAGCAAAAGAACCTGACAGTCCCTCACTTTCTGCGAAGAACACGGAGCCATCTCCACAGCCCAAAACAGACCAAGACGAGCACTGCTCTGCGCTGAGTTTGCCGCCGCTTCTTCTTTTGGGCGTCTTTGGTGTGCGACGCGGCGTACAGGAAGTATCTCGGCCAGGGGGCTCTCGAAACTGGGTTCCGAGTGGCGCTTCTGGAGGCTTCGAGATGCAATGAGAAGGGCTTTAAGGGTTTTAGGAGCTCAGGGCTAGTTAAGCCCTAACGCAAACGTCGCTTCCCGCCTCATCTTCGTGTCGATGTCCTCCATGTACTCCTTCTGCGAGGGCTCGTCCAGCGAGCCGTAGTATCTCAGGCGCCAAAGCCCCAAATGCTGGATTCTGCTCCCTGGCTCCCACGACGCTTTCGGAATTCTGAGAACTGAGAACTCTCTTCTTTCAGAATCCGAAGCCCAAGCCGTTGCCTCCTAGACCCGGGGCTCCACGCGTGCGCTCCCAGCGTTTGACCCCGCGCAGCACGAGCTCGTCCCGCCGCTTCACGCACTTGATGAAGCGGATCCTCTGGGCTGAGGGCTGAGAACTGCAGAAGCTCTGAGGTGGCGTGGGTTTTTGGGGGGATTGATCTGGTGGAGCTTTTTTTGAAGCTCGCAACCCCTGAACCCTCAACCGATGGTGTTTTTCTGACGGGGGGGTCAGCCGAGGCGGCGGCCAGTGGGGCTTGCAGATCTGCATCCGTGCATACGGGGTGTCGGCCTTCTCGGTCTCGATGCCCTGGCACAAGGGTCACTCAAGCCAGAGCGACTCGCCCACAGATGGTACTGTTTGAGAACATCTTTCGGGCTTGGAGTTTTAGGGGCTCCAGTGCGAGCCCTGCCGCCTTGTCGATACAACGGTCCAGGCTACGGAAGACATTGTCGCAGAGGCAGATGTCCTGGACCCCCCCCCAACATTCTACGCCCATGAATCTTCGGGGAGCACACGCATGACGCCTCTGAGAAAACTGGGGAGACGCTCCGCTACCTTTCTCTAACGCAAGCATGTGTTCACAACGCCAAAGGCTAACCGAAAGCAGCCCTCCAGTCACTTTTTCGCCGAACATTTTATCGACCATCCCACCGACTTCCGCTGGAACGGCCGAACCTGAGCAAAAGACTCCGAGCTCCGCCCACAGTGCTGTGCGATGCTTGAAGGGCAAGAGGCGGTCATGCTTCCCTTCTTAGTAGGGAATCGGGGGGATCCCTTGAAAGTGGAAAATAGGCGATGTAAGGTTCCTAACTCCCTCATGACCCCACTTAGAACCCGCAGGTTGAGGTCGAATCCTGGCTGGGAACTTTGGGTTTAGGGTTTTCGGGTTTTATGGAATTCAGGGGTTTCAGGGCTTCTAGGGGTTTAAGGTTTTGGGATTTTGGGGGCTTTGCAGGGTTTAAGGGGGTTTAGAGCTCAGGAGAGTCCTTGGGCAGCTCCTCCACGCCCATCATGGTCGGCAGGATCGGGAACAACATGCGGTCCTTTCCCCCCAGAACTCTTTCCGGCGGGCGCTCTTTCTGTCGAGTCGGGCCTTGTATGCGTGGAGCTCGGTCCAGGTCAGCCCATGACCTAAGCTGAAGATGGTGGCTTTCGGCGTTTCGGGGGAGTTGACGGCTGTCATCTGTCTGTTGTCCACCACCAGCGTCGCCAGCCACAGGATCCCCCATGGAACCCATCGAAACAAACAACGCCCAAAAAAAGACAACGCACCAAAAGCATCCAACAACTTGGCAGCTCTTGATCCCGGACGGCGCTCCGCGCTGTTCAAGCGCGCCTTCTCCGGCTCCTGGCGGGTCTTGAGGCCTAACATGTTAGGAAGTTCGACTTGAGGCGCAGCGAAGGGCTTCACGTTCAGGGCGGGGGAAACGCCAGCCCTCATGCCTAAAGCGGCTTGAGGTTTCAGGGACGCTTGAAGCTCGGAAAGGTAAGAAAATGAGCTAAGTTGTGTGGGGTTTCCGAGGGATGACTAGGGCTCAGTGTTTCCGGTATCCGTGCAATACTTACACCCTAAACCCCCCAACCCACGGTGACCAACGTCTGGCGCCTGTTGTCGACCAAGCACGCGCTTGACCGCCCCCCGCTCGCCTGTTTGGAGTGTTCGGAAGCTCGTGGGAACATGGGCTTCTATCTGCCCCACTAAATGCGCCTGAGGCGACTGACCAAACCAAAAACAGAGCGAAACCTCTTGAAATCCAGGACCCTCAGATCAAAACGGCTTCGCCACAAGCGTTTCTCAAGAGAGGTCGTTACAAAGTACCACGAGGAAACCTCCACGTGGATCAAACCCCGTGTAGAAAAGCCCGTGTGCAAGCCACGCCTGTGTCGGATTCCCGCTCCATCTCGGCCATGCCTCCGGCCTCACGAGTGGGGTGTAAGGAGCACGTGAAAGCCCACGGAAGTAGTTCTGGTAGAAGGCGCTTAGTCAAGGTCATGGTGCCATGTAACATAGACATAGGGATACCCTTTTCCACCCGACTGGATGCCCAACACCTGCAAACCGAAGAAGGAAAAGATATGTGTGTGTGTGTGTGTATGTATATATATATACATATACATATATATATATATACACATATATACATATATATATATATATATATATATATATATATATATGTACATAGTAAATATAAACATGTACATAATATAATATAATATGATATGATATAATATAATGTAATATAATATAATATAACATAATAATATAATACATATATATATATATAGAGAGAGAGAGAGAGATATAGATATATATATATATATATATGTACTAGTATACAATATACAACATATAATACAAAATTAGTATACAGTGTAGAATACAGTATATACAACAACATACCAGAGCAGTCACTCGCCTTCAACGGAGCAAGCTCCAGGAACGATGGGCGGAAAGTGTATGGCCAACAAAATTGCGTGCGGGAGGAATGACAACTTACAACTGCAAACAATGACCATTGTGCTTTCAGCTTCGATGCTTGGAAAAGCTAATTTCCTACAGGCGGCCGCTGGATCGACAAAGCAGCGTTCACTCGCATCAAGCATTGGAGCCCGGGAACTGCAAGCAGTCGTCGTCTACAGCAGTCTCGGGCCAGCCCAGAATGTGCATGCCGCTTTTCTCTCGTAGGGAGGCAGGCAGAGCCGCGTCTTCTCAACATGTGTCCCTGCTCCCCCGGCAGGGTTGAGTACCAGAGCCTTACGACTTTTCCCTCGCCGTACTGCAGGGACACAGAGCATGTGTTGAGAGCCACCTTGTCGGGCTGTGTGAAACGGGAAGCCATCCAACGTAAGATCGCAACGATTCGGGCTGATATTTCAGGATGGATGCGGCTTGAAGAAAACCCATACACAATGCAAGAAATGCTCGCAAGCAAGCATGTGATAGAGGACTGGCTGCTGAAGCTCTCAGGATTTGGCAAGCCTGGTCGCACCTTCGGCAAAGGCTCAGCTGCGAACGGAGACCCAAACCTGTCGGAATCCCACCTCGCGCCATGCTACCAAGGCCGCACTTGAGCCGATGACGCACACAGAGAGGCCCATGGCTAAGGATTTGGGAGCTGATCACAGAAAACTCCTGTTCCCAACAGTACCCTATGTCTCCCCCAGAAACCAATGATAGGAACCCTTAACTTCCCAGAAGGACCTTGAGATCAACCCCCCCCCATGTCGAGTTTTTGGAATGAATCCTTCACTGTCGCGCAAGCCACCTCCTAGCGAGGGCTTCGCCTTCCGTTGTTTTGCCACAGCCATCTCCTTTCGCTCTTGGGGGTTGCCAGGCTCAGCTCTTTTCAGGGTGTTAAAACATCTCCCACTACGTCTTCGGGGCCTTAAGCAAATTCCGACGGGCGAATTCTCACAGGTTTAACAGACCCCCCGCTCCAACGGCGCCTATCTTCGTCGCAACATTACAGCCGCACGAGTAGCAACTTGCCGTGCACCTCTTTTCCCTTTGCCTGCTGCATCGTCAAGTGCAAAGAGGCAAACATGAGAGCGAGCGGCATCGGCAGAGGACCAGAATGCATCCAAGGAACCGAATCAGTTGGTTCGCCGCATTTCTTGAACATGCACGCTGCCTTTCTCAGGCTAAGCGATCTGAGTATCCTCTCCCCTCCTCTGCTTCGTCGCTGCGAGCCTCTGGTGACCCTGGCGGTACTTATGACGTCTTTACCAACATCAGGCCACCTGGGTCCACATCGGGAGCATCTGGGAACAGGCCAGGGAACAGGCCAGCGCAAGTGGCTATCAAGCTGGCATCGGCCGTCATCATGGTGAAGCGCCCTAATGAGCCAACGATGATACGACTTGCAGGTCGGATGCTTGCATGCTTCAGGTGGTTCAGGCAGGCCTTTGTGCCATGTTGCCGTGCAGGCCCGCACGAACCGCTGCGTGCTCCTGCAACTTTCGCCTTCTGCCAACGCAGGAGGCGTAGACCTAGACACGAGAACAGGCAGCAACGTGAGCAATACGAGCAACGTATGTGCGGAAGCCAGTTGACAAGATCCAGCGGTTCGCCAGGTGTGCACGACACTTGCTTTAAGAGCGCCTGTTGAAGCAGCCTCCCACAAACCAGTTGAGAGCATTGAAAGGATGGTCCAACATGAACCATGAGTGCAAGGTCCGGGAATCCTGGCGTTCTGCGAGGCACACTGAAGTCACAGGACGCAGAATCTTCTCCAGCTAGCGCATCACGTTTCCCCTTTCGCTCAGCCTCCGCCTGCAACAGCACTGCACTGCCCTATGGCCCTCGCGACCCTGGCAAGACGGCCAGGGGCAGGTGGCAGCAGACACTTTGCAGGCTTCATTTCAATGGCTGAGGGTCAGAGATGTGAGGGCCATGGCCAGGATTGCTTGGGTCAAAGCCGCAGCGGCGGAAAACTTCGTGCGGGTGCAACTCGCAAGCGGAATGCTGTTGCCGCCGCAGATGTCGCGGTCGCTGACAGCGAAGTGTCCGCGTTGACGGCACGAGCATCGGAACAGGCACACGTTTTGGGCGCAGTGATCCGTGCGGACTGCAAAAACTGCCTTCGGCAGTTCCTCAGGAGCCGCAGCCCGAAGCCTTCATGTCACAGATGCCTTGCAAGGACTTCTCTTGCAGGCTTCAAGGAGAACGCCTCCAGGCGGCTGCAAGCGTTTTCCCCTTTCTCCCATGCCTCAGGCCGGTTTCCTGTCTCTCGTGGACTGAAGCCCGGAGCCGCAGTGAGGCGCAGTGCCCGGGGCCGAGGCCCTCTCTCAGCGCTTTTGTAACCCTCAACCGGCGAGGCCTTCCCTTAGGGAAGCCCCCCTTTCAACAAGCCTGGCCAATCCCTACCTGGGCCAAATACCTCGCGCCGGCGTCAGCGACGTCGAGCGGCTTTGTCAGAAGGGGGTCGGATGCTGAGGAGCCTGGGCTTTAGCTTTGGTGCTCGCGCCACGACCAGCAGCGACTTCGAGCTCACGGCTTTGTGAGAAGAGGATCGGATTCTAAGGAGCCTTCCGTGCGTGGGGGATGTGACCATCTCTCCTATTCCTCCTATGTTGGCTCCAACCGTGATGCCAGTCTGTTCGAGCTCCGAAGTTCGGACTCTATATATTGACTCACACTTCTTCACATGTTGCAGTGTTGCGCAGCTTGGAAACTTTCTAGATGTTACTTTCATGCTCGCTTCAGCCCAGTTCTGTTTCTCAAAGGCGTCAAGGCTTCTTGCTTCCACATGCAGCCTGTGCCAAGGCAGCGTGTTTGCGGCCAAGCGGTGAGCAAGTACGGATCACGGGACCGCCTGAGAAGGTCTCCTCATGCTTGGGCTTAAGTTGTGGTCTGCGCTGAATGGCCTGAAAACACGTGGTGGGAAAAGGGACTGCCCAGCGCTGCACTATTGGGAGAGCTGCACGCGCCAAACAGCGTCCCAAACCCTCCGTTGTCAGCGGCTGCAAGAAAACCAAGGCCCTCTCTTGACGTGACAAGAAACCTTTAGCAAGAGAGCCGACAGGGCATGCGGGCTGTGGGGTGACATGTTGGAGAAAAGGCTGAGAAGAGCAAGATCGGGAATGACCAGATCGCGTGACAAGCCCACGATGTCCTCTGGGCATGGTAGGCTCAAAGCCGTTCTCAAAGCCATTCTTGAAGGCTTCAGGTGGCTCGCAAGAGAACGGCATTTCTGGAAGTCTCTGGCAAGGGACTTAGCACCCTGAAACCGCTCAGGGGTCCCCAACTTCCAACACCATCCCTTGCAGGCGTCGAGGGTCGAAGGAGTTCCAAACATGTTCTAAAGCGTGCAGTCCGCGGAATCCGAATCGGGAGGCCTAGTGCTGCCAAGGCCTACAGAGCTCCAGAGTTGCGCCGTCCAGGCTGCAAGAGCCGACAAAGCCCAAAGTGCTTTAAGATGATCTGTCTGAAATCACCGCATACGAGCTTCAAGCCCAAGTGGCCCAACGTGGCACAACGTGGCACGGGCGCGAGCAATCCGCCCGGTTCGTGCAGCTTCCAGGGCTCGGAACGCACAATGTCGGCACCATGTCCAAAGACGTGTCGCAACGAGGGCACTAAGCGCCCCTTGCTTTCAAACTTTCAGACTCGAGGCTGCCGCTCAGGCCTACATCACCGCTGTTCTCACATGCTTGAGCGGACTCTACCGCATTGAATGCAACGCACTGTTCCGGCGCCCCTGTAGCCCAGCCTGCGTCGAGGCACGTGCACTGCCGAAAGCTGCTGCATTGTCTACAACATGATTCGCACCTCAGTCTCTGTGCTGGGAGCGCCAGTCTGCACGGACTTTCGAAGCGCCCGTTGCAGCGATGGCAGTGCCGCCACTGAGCGTCCGTGGCAGTCCGCGTAGCCAGCGTAGCCCGCAAGACACTTGACCGTTTGCGGTCGGAAAGAAAACAGGAGAATGGGCATGTCAGCCTGAGTGTCTGTGTTCCCCTCAGGCTCACGCCTAAGTGCCCTCAGCTCATCTTCAGGCCATCGGGTTTAAACGGCCTTGGATAACATTGAACCATAGGGAAGGTCACTGCCTTGAGTGGCGTGTTCACGTGTTCACCATGTGTCTTTGAGAGGCTAGGTTTCCGCGGCCTGGAAGCAGGGGGCGATCATCATGTCTTCCTCCAGTGACTCTAGAGCACAGGAGCCAGTGTGGGTTCTAGACCGACGTGGCGAGCGCAGGTGCCACTACCTTGGTCCGCCACGCCCCCACATGTTCAAGCTTGGCGTTTGCCGCTCCTTCGTGGCGGCTGGGACGCTGGGCGTGTCAGCATGCATGGCTCAACCCGACCTCAAGCCACGGCCTCTAAGCAAGATTGCTTCCAATTGCCCGGTGTTAGTGGCATGGCCAAAGCTTCTGGGTGTTGTGAATGTTGGCTTGAGGTTAGAGGT